TCCCGCGATCCAGTGTTTCCACTCGCTTCAGCTATTTTGGATCTGCTTCCCCCAGCTGGGGGAACGCTTTGGCTTAGCTTTTCGCCCTAGAAACGGTTCAGTTTTAGGCAGAGGACGTCGGGTGTCAGCTGGCGGGATTAACGTTTTGGACTTTTTTCAACCATCTCCTTTTCCCAGTGACTTTACTAATCGCCTTTTTCCCCTTGAGGGGCTTTAACAATCGCACTTTTGGATGCGATTCCCTCCTTTCTGATGCTATCCTTGGAAAAATGCATTGTTTTGGTGTCTGCAAGCTTAATTAATGGTGGTAACGAAGGGAGAGGCGCGCTGCAGGCAGCACACATGCCTCCCAGTCCTGAGCTTGCCTCCGTGCTGACATGCATCGCCGAACCACGGGTCTGCGGCCAAACTGTCCGTCCTCCCTCGCATCAGGCCTGAGCTACGCAGGCAGCGCTCGAGCTGAACAGCCCCTTCCCTTGCATCTGCACATTGAGGGGCTGCTCGGAAGGGAGCTCAGCTACATGTAACTTCAGTGAGGGGTTGCCCTTAAAAGCAGGTGGTGCCTCGCCAGGGCACTTCTGGTCCGCGTGGCGTGCTGGGGCTTGGTTCTTGGGGCACGACCTGCTGCGAGTGGATGCGGGCTCACGTGTTGGACCCGTGTCACGCAAGCTGGGTGCTTCTACTTGTGACTGCAGCCTGCTTGAAGGCAGTTTTTGGAGATCAGAAGCGGGTAAAGCCATGCAGCGTCTGCGTGCAGGCTCTTGGGCGTTTCTCGGCCGCCCGCGCTGTGCTGATCCAGGGGTGGTGGCCCTCGGTCCTCCCCATCACCCCGCCAGCGGAGCCAGGGGACGTGGGACCCGCAGCGCAGCTCCCTCTCCTGCCCCGGGCAGATGCGTGTGTCTCTGTCTGCCTACACAGGACCATTTGTTGTGGAAAGTTTGTTTTGGCAGGAGTAGGGTGACACGTACATGCAAATGCTAAGAGTAAAATTAAAGGAGGAAATTTGAATGCTCTCTCAGGGACATTTTCAAGAGCCACGTGCAAGTTTTCCTGCAGTATGTTTAAACTAGTCCCAGAAAAGTGACTAATGATGTTTACACGAGCACTTGTGAAGCTGAGGACCGAATTTCCACTGCTTTTCCTTGCTGCCTTCCTCAGGCATCCACTACGGTGCCGAAACCGCAGCTTCCCAGGGCTGGCCCGGCCGCCCCCCCTGCCTCGCTCAGCGGCAGCCACCGTCTTCGTCCCTCTTCAGACGTCGTGCAAGTAAGGGTTGCTTTTAAAAAGTAATTCAGGTCTTGAGTAAATACCGCCAGGTATTAGGAACTGACTCACAGCATTAATAGGATTATTATATGCATGACTGAACGCATTTATTTACCCGTTGCTGGGGACAGGATTAGGTCCCTCCCCTCAGCCTCCCTCCTCTTCGGCTCGGAGGGCTCAGCGTCCTGCTCTGGGAACCCCGGCTGGCCCCGAGGGGCCTGGGGCACCTCCTAGCTAACGAGAGCTCAGGCCTCTCCGTTTTCCCTCGCGCGGCCCCCGGGCTCCC